CGCTGTATTATATAAAAGAGTTTTGGTTTAGGTTAAAGATTTAGAAACCAAAGATACTGCAAAGGTGGCTACAAGGCCGATTATTACCATTCAGATTAACAAAACGGCAACAATCTAAAAGAAAAGAAAAAGAAACTTTTGTTACAAAACCGGACAAAGTAACAAAATCCTTTTTACAAATCGTTTTACAAAAACACGGAAACCTGCTCTGATAAGTGAATTTTATCAAACGTCAGGGAGTTTTTCACCGCTGGAAAAGCACCAGGCAGTAAAATCTGAAATGGCAGCGTCCTGGACCGATGCAACAATAGTGTGCGATAAGAAATACAAAAAAGAAAGAAGCTAAGAATTATTATATATATTAATTATTATATTAAGATATATTTTGACACAAAATATTCCTCAAAAAATTTACTAAAATAGAATACAAATTGCTGATGCAAGAAAATGTAACAAAATTAAAATACATGTACTTTGTATTTAAAATATGGGAAATAATTTGGCATAGCAGAGCATTCAGGTCTGAGCTGTATAATGTACACAGAATGTTAGTGTAATAAGCTATTAAAAGACACCAACTTTATTGATCATATAACTGTATATATAAGTGGTGAATAGCATCACACATTAGGCCGGTGTATACTATGAGGAGGACATAGAACTACACAGGGGCCTAATAAAACAGTGTGTATAGACCTAAAATGAATAAAAATAAAAGGTAAGTAGTAAATCAGTAAATGATTGCTAGCTTGATATTAGAACCATCACTAAAAACGTGTCCAGATGGACGAGCTCATGTAATTGGAAGAGAATCCGGTCAAGTTAAATAAGTAAAAAAAAATAAAAAAATAAAAGTAGTTTTTTCTTCAACTGGTCCTCAGTAGCCCACAGACTGGGCCAACCAGCTATAGAACGTCTTTCTATCCATGAATCTACATAATTGCTTACAAATAAAGCCGAGGCGGAAGGCGGAAACCGACAGGATCATTCCACAGAACGCCTTTGAGGAAATGTGCAGAGGCACGCCTAGTTTCAAACTCAATACTTACAGGTGAATTTCAATGGAAACGAATGACTAGATTCTTCAGAACTACAGGAATAGTTGCCAACACATTCCAGCTGGTGTCGGCGAAACGGTGGAACGCGCGCTGCCAATCATCCGTCGGTCTCAGTACCTGCATACGTGCAACGACAGTGGAATCTATTACACATATTTTACGGTTATGTCGTAATTTAAGTGCATGCTGGAGAGAAGATACTCCAACAGGACATCCAACAGGACCCCACGGTGGCCTGAGCGCACAGCGGTCAGCAGTGTCAGTACGACACACGGGTCCAGAGAGGTTTGGACACCCGTCAAACGGAACAAAGGACACATTGGTTATGACTCCAAAAGGCCGTCTTTAAAAGCGACGGGGTCCCGTTAATGCAGAGAGGCTGATTGCCGTAGGCGGCTCGGCCCTCTGGCTGAACTGTGACTCGCCCGATACGCACACGACACACACACACGATACACACACACACACGATACACACGCACACGATACACACGCACACGATACACACGCACACGATACACACGCACACGATACACACGCACACGATACACACACGCCTCTGCTGCTCAGCTACACGGATGCTTGACGGTGATTCAGTCAATATTTGCTATTAAACAAGAAGCTCGTTAAAATAAGACCGTTTACGATCTCTTTATGTAACGCCGATGATAACTTTCGGTTATCGAGGGTGTGGCCCAATAACGCTCAGCGTTTAAAAACGTTAATGTGCGTTAATCAGCAGCCATAAAGCTTTTTTCTTTAGTTGCCACCCGAAACCTCAAAGCAAACACTTATCATCACATCTATAACGCTGCTTAACATCGTTTTACCTTCAAACTAACAGCACTCAGGGCAAATCACCAGTGAGAAACCCCCCTGCGTCGGTGTGGTATTAACGCAGTGCTTTACCGCGTTTGTTTGTGTAGCGTTTTGTCACTTGAGGGTTGAACGAGAAACGCCAGGAGGGTTTTTTCTGTTGAATGTCCAAGAACAAAAGGAATCGAATGTCCAAGAACAAAAGGAAGTGTTTATGCTACGATGTTTTTGAATACCTGTGTCGAGCAATTAACACAAACACGCAGTCCAACCCACAGAGTTAAATTTAGTGAGATTACATCGGAATGCATGATGTAAGTATGACTGAACACGTCATTGTGCAACAGTGACATGTTAACTACTCCAAAGACAATGACTTTAAATTAAAGTTGTGTTGTTTCTCTGACTGACCACTCCCTCCCACATAAAGAGTTTATTGAGAACACGTCATTGTGCAACGCTGACACGGTAACAACAGATTGCACAAGTGGGAGGACGGTACGTGCGCACCTGCCACCGACCCGTTGCTGCATTTTTACGTATGCATACATTAGTTTTTCCTTCTAAAATAAGTACATACATGCATACATAGTGTATATGTCACTTTGTACGGTCAGACTCCCCTTTTGCCTTCAGAACTGCCTTAATTCTAAGTTCATTCAACCAGTTGCCGGAAACGTTCCTCACAGATTTTGGGTTCATAATGACGTGACAGCGTCCCGCGGTGTCCCCCGGAGGGTGTCCTGAGGCGGTCGCCAGTCTTCTGCAGGGTTCCACGCGTTCAGCAGCAGTCCAACATTACTTCCACACAGGGAGGCCATCCAGAACTTTAACGTATCCTCAACTGCAGTAGAGAAAACCATCAACCGCTACGACGAAACTGGCTCTCGTGAGGGCCGCTCGGGACAGGAGGCCCACGGGTCGCCTCTGCTGCAGAGATGTTCATTAGAGTAAACAAACCGCAGACGAGAGCCCACATGCACATTCGCTTGGCAGCGTTCAAGTAAAAGAAACGTCTCAACAGCAACTGGTCAAAGGCGACGGCGTGGAAAAAGCCACAACAAGAGGAGGAACTTTCTTGGGCGAAGAACTAAAGGAATGGAAACTCAACCAGTGAGAGACAGTGAGAGGTCGTCTGTGTGGCCTTTGTGGCCTTTGAACGATCCGGGTGCTTCAGGTGAAGCAGCTGCTCATCAAGAGCTGGAGGCGCACTAGTGCTTTATGAGCCGTCACCGACCCCGTCCCACCTTTTGCACTGACCCGTGCGCGCTCATCTCGGCGCTCGATGTAGTCTATGGGCGAGTGAAGGTGAAGAAACGCTGCCAGCCGTCCGTCCACAAACATCTCAACAACTCCAAGATGGGCTGCAAATCAATTTGGCGAAGCTAATTCATGGTTCCCAGAAGATGAATCCTTAATACATAATATCCATAACCCATTTCTCTCCTTTTATTTAAGCAGTTGAGTTTTATGAACCTTTGCCATTTCTATACAGTTTTTGGAAAGTGGAAACTTGTAACAACAGAATATCATGTTTACATGTTGATATAAATACTAACATTTAGAGAAGAATTGCTTCATAGAGCTGCGAGGTTTTCTACCAGAGCTTTTGCAGCTGATTGCCATGAACTGATTAGTTTGACAGTTGACACAACCTGAAACCACAACATATACCAAGACCGTGTCCTACTGCCTACATTTGAAATATGTTTAGTGACTAGATGGAGGTAAACGGACCTCGATGACTTCTCTCACACACACACACACACCCGCTGCCCTCCAACTGCTACGAATAATCCAGATGTAATTATCACTTCCCCTCTGGTGGACACAGCGAGGCGGAGGGAGATGGTGGGGGGTCATGTGGTGGAGCTGGGTGCAGGACCCGAGCTGGAGTGTTGAAGAGTGAACAGATGCAAAGTCAACACACACACACACACACACACACACACACACACACACACACACACACACACAGCTCTGTCTGCAGACAGCGTAGGCGCCCAGTGATGCTGCACCCGACCACAGAGCCAAAAAAATCTGCTCACGGATGCCAAGTTTCATGCAGTGACGCGGGGCGCCGTCGCCTCGTACCCTTTTCAACCTGGTAGGAGCTCCGACACGGCAGGTTCGCCCACGCTGTAACACACACACACACACAAACACACACGCACGCACGCCCAGCGGGTTGTTTGGTTAGGATCAAGACTTGAGCTTGTTTTATACAGCGGAGTGATTGGTGCGAGATTTCGTTGACAGCACTAATTATGATTATTCAATCGTTGATCCCTGGTTACCAAATAAACGCTTGGAGACGCCTTTGACCAACAATGCAACACCGCGTCGCCTCAGCTAAAAGGAGGCACTGCGCACAAACATTGAAGAGGACACATTCAGTGCTTTTGCAAATATGTTTTGATACGTGCAGCATTCAACACACCAAAAAAAACGTCTTTAGTCTTAGTGAAAATTGTAAACATGAGCTCATGATTTCCACCTGTAATGGAGCGTACAAACACAAAACTAAGAAAAGTATAGAGTAGAACTCTAGGAAACCTCTTCAAGCGAGAACATTTCTGGGACCTTTTTGAAATTATGTTTTCAGACAACTGTGCAGTAATGTTCTATGTCCTGGATATTTTTGTTAATTATGGTCACGCAGTGACAGAAAGATGCTGACAAATGTCCGGCTGCTTGACAGTTGGGTCCCAGATCATCAAACCGTCCATCAGCAGCGCTGGGTGATTAGTATCCGTTTAGGGGTCTGAAGTTTGAAATAAGACAACCAGAGACATTTTCAAAAAAATCTGTGTATTGTAACGTCTTTGTGGGGGGGGGGGTAAAGGTTCTGCTACACAAACACAAACACACGCATGGATACTAACACAGACTTGCCCCAACAAGCCGTCCTCAGGAGGAGTTCCTGGACACAAACGCACGTCTGCGTTTTAAATACAGTGTATTGTACATTTCCCATAAGCTCGAAACCTCAAATCAAGCTCCGAGCATTCCAAGTGACTGGCATGTCGGGACGCGAGGTGATCGCATCTACATTTTCACACACGCACACGCGGGGAGAGAAGGTGGGACAGACAAGTGCTGAAAGGGCATGAAATGTTTTTGGTTGTTTTTTTAAGTACAGGATGAAAATAGTGTCAATCAATTAAAACCAAAAACGCACGTGCAAGAGAGTCGGGAGTAAAAGCGTAACATCTTTACAGTGTGAATCAACAGGAAGTCGGCGGGCTGCACCTCCAGTGTGTTGAATACAGTAAACGACTCATGAGCCGTCCTCTCTACCGAGCTGTCCACGTCTGAAGACGCACGTGGAAAGTCGGCGTCCCTTTCCCTTTGGACGTGGACGGGCCCCACTCGTGTTTAAAAAGGACAAAAAAGGGGGGTGAAATGGCGGAATCGGTTGAAAACGCACCGCATCCGGATACCCAAGCCGAGTAAGACAAGAAAGAGATATACAAGTTTCACGTTTGACCTCTGAAAATGAGCACCACCTTCTAAGATTTGATATCATTTAGCTTATGTCTATTGGACTTATATAACGGAATAGAAAAATAAACACTGTCATGAAGTTCATTTCTTCACCCGTCTCTCTCAGCTCACCTTTTCTTTGGAAACATCTTAGTATCATTTTGGTGAAGTTGTGGTCAGAAACGTCTCGTTTCAGGCTCTGAATCTTTGTTCAAGCTTGTTTTATAACAATAAGGACATTCTCGGGCTGCGACAGCCTTATTGCATTCAACACAGGAGCATAAAACACATGAGACAGAGGGACATACATACATGGGGCAAAGGGAACACGTTGTTCCTACAGTAGAGGCCCAGTGGGACAGCGCTACCTTTGGGGTGTTGTTCCGATCACATGTTCATTTGGAGTTGCTGAGAGCAGCAAGTTGTCGCCTTGGGATCAAACACTCAAGGATACCGTCCTTCATCCTTTCTTAGAATTCTTTCTTTTTTAGTTTTTTTTTTATTCTGGCGCCTGGGGGAGGACGAAGGTCGAGGTCGAGAGTCATCTTAACGTGTCTCATGACCTTCTCCTCCTCTGCATGGGAAAGAACTGAAGGGTGGTGAAGGGAGTCCGCTGTACTGATGCCCGCCCGCCCGCCCCCTCACAGCCCCCCGTTGTTGCTTGTCGTGCGGGGGTTGGGGGGAGGCGTGCGTCCTTCGGGGGTGGCATGTATGCCAAGGCCAGCGAGTAGTTCCCGAAGGCGTCCGACGGCGCTCGCCAACTGCTCCTTCTCCCCCTCCAGCGCGGTGACCTGCTCCCTCAGCCGCCCCTCGGACTGGGCCAGGGTCTCCACTTGGCCCTCCAGGCTGCAGACACGCGCGTGCGACACCTGGAGGGGGGCAGAGGGGTTGGGAGAGAGTGACAGTTGGCATGGAGGTAATGGAAAAGAGAACTACTGTGTGTGTGTGTGTGTGTGTGTGTATCTGTGTGTGTACCTGCAGCTCCTCCAGCAAGTCCAGGTTCTGCTGCCGGAGGCTCTGATTGGTCCTCTCCAGCTGTGCGGCTCGCTGCTGTTGGGTGAGGGACGGGGGCATGTCCACCAACTCGTCCTGCAGGACGTGGTACTCCACCTCGTAGGCCTGCAGCTGCTTGGATACGTCCATCTGACACACCTGATGAGCAGAGAGCGTCTACGATGAATGAACGAGAACATCTGGGCTTCTCCGTTTCCAAAGAGAACCGAGCGGCTAAGAAAGTTTTTTTAAACGACTGTGATCCCAAACATTAAATTGTAGTTAGATTACTACGATTTATATATTATACTACTGTAATTATAGATAACTTGTAATAAATAATAATGTAATAATAAACTATACTAAACAGTCCTGCATAAAAAGTACTGTCGTGGAAGAGAAGCTTGAAGGCATCTGATGCTGCAGATGGGTTCAGAATAATTCCAAAGCTACAACTTGTCAGTCTGTCAGAGCGAGAAACAATCAGGTTGTACAGGGAAATGTTTGGGGATCAAAACAAGATTCTGTCGCGTTCCGTCTTCAAGTGTTTCCTCTTTCAGACCAAACGAGTCAGCTGAGCTCCATTAATCGGCTTTTTGTTCCCATCAGGCCCTTTGCTAGCATTGGTCATTGTCGCTTATTTACCTTTTTAAAGAGAGCTGTTAATCATCAGGCAAAAGTTGTAAACCAGACTATTACTGGTAACTGTACTACTGTTGAAAGAAGAGCAGATGTTTATTACTGTGTAGAAATACGCGTGTCTTCACTTTACATCCGTGGAAGTTTGGCTGACGATTGGTTCCAACTCATCGGTGTGAGTTTCTGTCCTTGAGGGCAGATCTCAGCCCTCATATTAACAAGACTAATGGGAGGTTATAAAAACTTCAACAGTCCACGCTGCAACATACAGCCGCATACATGGCACCTGAGATCCTGCCGTCACAGGGGGTTTTGCTTTGTGAGTCACTGCACAGGCGGCGTATAGGCAACCTGGATAAGAGGCACAGCTGCACGTACAGAGCGGCAGGCTGGAGCACGACTCAACACCCTCTTCTTGCTTCCACATGTAGATCACATGGATAAATGTATACGTTCTAAAGTGTAGAGTACCTTGTGCAGGCCGTACTCGTCGAAAAACTGATGCGATGTGGCAGGTGCACATTTCTTCATGTGCGAGTTTTACACAGTAGTCAAATCCACTCAGAAAGAAATCTTCAGGTGATCAATTTGATAGCAGCAAGTGATAATGTTTGTTTCCTGTTTTGTTTGGTTGTTTCCTTAGTTTCTTGTGCAGATAAACACACCAGAATAATTTAAACCAGTTGATAACTGAGAGCACGGACCGTGGTGCATTCAGGAGCTCCTCGGAGGGCCGACTTCGGCGTGCTCACGAGCCGTGATTTTGAAAACAATGTGGACGCTACAAAAGAAGACGTGATGTGTTCTGAAGCTTGGCAGTTTTGGAGTTGTGGGTTTTGCAACCTGAAAGGGGCGTTTGAGGGAATTTTACCAGTCAGGATTTTCTATTTAACAATTGTTCCAAAAATTAGCCAGCATCAATGCCCCCCCCCCCCCTCCCGCCCCCCCATCAAAACGTTCCGTCTTCTCTCATGAAGACGGTTGGAGTAACTCCACGCGAGTGCCTGGTACTGTTGACACACGGTACTTGTTCCTCAATGCAAACGTAAACGCACTTTGGTGGCACTCCGCCCAACCGCTGATGTCAGCAGAGCGTGGTTCATCCTGATGAATGTCGCCACTCGAGGGGAATTCCATTTTCCATTTATGTTTGTTTCCTCGTGACCAAACTAACAGAGTTCACTTCCAGGAGCTTCTTGAGTCAAGTCGCTAATCCGTTAACGTGTGTAGAATCGCTGCTGTATGCGATGTAGGGTTACTGTCTGGCGATAAAACTTAGATTGTGTGGTGCTCTGACCTGGTTGATGGTTTTCTCCATCTGGACCAGGCCCAGATTGGGCAGCGTGGTCTTGATGAAGTCCACGATGGACTCCAGGCTCTCGTGCTGCAGGATTAGAGGCTTGTGGCTCCCCAGGAGGCTCATGGCCACCTTGAAGATGACCTCTGACCCCTGCAGGAACAACATATCTGAAAGCGGACAAAGGAGTCAAAAGCTTGACGGCTTTTTTCGTTTCAAACACGCTACAGTTGGGTAAATAATGACAGGCGCTCACAGCACAGCTTACTGCCCTGATTGGACACGTAAACGGTAGTTGTCAATGATAGATGGCTTGCGTCGGTAATAAAGGTTTAAGCAAACATAAATATAGGCCAGAGGTGTGTGAATTTGCGTGCGTGCTTTGACTGCATCAGGGTGGAGTCAGGGCTCGGCAGGAGGGCATGAGATCATCAGACAGAGAAAGAAATGGGAGCGGCGGCGAGGAGCCCCTCATGCCGCACAATATCAAAGACTACGGTGTCATGAGGATGCCCTCTCGCTGTAACGCACGCACGCACAGCGCTATGCTCAGATGAGCACAAAGAGACGGAGAGTCTGGTTCACTGACTGAGCAGAATTAAGGAAATTAGGCATGAAAATTACAATAAGAAAGGAATGAGGGAGACTACGTGAAAAAAAAGAATATTTCTCAAATATAGAAGACAACGTCTGCCTTTACGTGACAAACAGTTTCTCCGCCACACACACACACACACAACTTACCGAAGACTCTGGCCACAAAGCCGAGGGGGAAGTGTGAGGCGAAGGCAGTGAGGAACCAGGGGGTGGCGTACAGGCTGGGCCCGATCTCCTGCTGCTCCAGGTGGACGTAGAGGTCCCGGTGGTAGTCGTGGAGCAGCCGCGAGAGCTGGTACATTTGGATCTGACGGGAACAACGTAGCAGAGATTGTATTTTGGGTTGGTGTAGTTGAGTGTACATCCCGTGCGGATGGTGCTTTTGTTATTTACTACGTGGTTTTAGGGTTGGAATGGATGGTTTATAGCAGGGGTGGGCAAACTTTCTGGCTCAGGGGCCACATTGACTTTTAAAATTTGACAGACGGGCCGGCCGATATCAGATGGATAGAGAGTGTTCATGTCAACCAATATAAATTAGAAGTAAAAGCCAATAACTAAAAAGTAAAGTGAACTTACATTTTTACATTACATTGCATTTCAGTGGGAACAGTGTGGTTGGTCCCCCTTTTTTGCCAGTTCATGATAGTTTGGTGTCAGCTTTGTTCTGGCAATTCTCAGGACAGATCTGAGGTGTTCATCCGTGAACTGAGATCTGTGGCGTGATTTGTTGTTTGAAAGCTCGGACGCTCTCATTTGTGTACATTTTAATGCACAAACTGATCTTTCCCGTGTAGCTTCATGTTCAGCTCATTCATGTGTGTCAGTGTGTCTACAGCCAAAGCAAAATCGCGAAGCCAATCTGCGTCGCTCAGCTCTGGAAAACCATCAGCTTTCCCGATTGTTATACTGAGCAAAATACACAATTCATAATACTCGGCAGGCCGGATCAAAACGCCCAACGGGCCGGGTCTGGCCCGCGGGCCGTAGTTTGCCCACCCCTGGTTTATAGCTATTTGGAGCCTATTCACTGGCTCAAAGATGCAACTCTGCCTCGGTTTAAGAATGTAAACAATACAAGGGAAAAAGGTTCGTTTCCGTGAAGTAACCTCCCACCTTTGCTCTTTGTTACAAAGGGAATAAAAGAATACCTACGCAATAGCTGTTCCATATATGGAGGTTAACAAATAAGGTGCAACAGTAAATTCCCTTAATTTTTGGAAAATAACGTACGGTTATAGAGTCTGACACACAAGAGATCATTTTCTCTGGAATTAACCCTCTAGCAATCAGCGCCTCTCGCTGACGGGAAGACGACGACGGGTTTCGTCACACTCACAAAAACGTTCCACTTTTGTACGGAACATAGCATTGTCATCTAGCTCGCCAAACGGCCACGTTACCGACGCACATCGAGTGAGAGGACAGCGGAGATTCTTCTGTGTGGAAGTATTGAGTATTGGAAATTATAAAAAAAAAAAAAAAATGTATATATTTTCTAACTAAAAATATGTAACATTTTTGAGATGCATGTACAAATATACCTACAGTGCGTCCGGGAAGTATTCACAGCGCTTCACTTTTTCCACATTTTGTTATGTTACAGCTTTATTCCAAAAGGGATTTAATTCATAATTTTCCTCAACATTCTACACACAAAGACCCATAATGACAAAGTGAAAACTGTTTTTTGTAATTTTTTGCAAATCTGTTAAAAATAAAGAAAGAAAACATAACGTGTACATGAGTATTCACAGCCTTTGCCATGACTCAAAATGTAGCTGAGGTGCTTCCTGTTTCCACTGATCCTCCTTGAGATGTTTCTACAACTTGGTTGGAGTCCACCTGTGCTGAATTCAGTTGATTGGACATGATTGAGGAACGCACACACTGGTCTATATAAGGTATCACAGTAGACAGTGCACATCAGAGCAGAAACCAAGCCATGAAGTTACTTTCCGGATGCGCTGTATAGTAAAATGTGAGATTTGTCAGTTTGGGTGTGTAGGTGACACTCACCAATTTTGTGTCCAATAAAGTGGAACAAAAAGGCTCTGTGTGCATGACTGTGTGTTTCTGTGCGTGTGTGCATTTCACCTGCAGGATAATCATGTCAGGCCTGTACTGTTTGCGGAGCCCCACGTCATACATGAGAAATTTGAGCATGTAGAAGGCGTCCTCCTCCCCCATGTGTAACAGCAGCACTCCCGCAATGAAGGACAGGCCCTGGCAGTAGCCCACCTGCAATTGCAACAATAACAAACTTGACGTCCACACATAAGGAAGGAAAAAGGGGCTTAAGCCCGTAAGACAATTGACAGTCGTTTCGTTTAGTGAGAAGGGAGGTGGGGGGGCAGAGAGAGACATACACATGTATGAAGAATGGAATGGTACCTCGGGGTCCAGCAGGGAGTAGGCCTTAAGTAGATTGTACAGAGACAGCTGACCAGCCCCCAGCTGGCCCTGGAAGTACGGATGAGTGGGAAAAGTGCGACCTGGGATGGGAGAGAGAAAAACAGCGACACATGATCCATCTTTCCCAAACTTTCCGCACTGTGAGCTCAGTTGAGATATTATATTTAGTAGGAACTTGCAGATACAAATTACATTACATTGATGAGATGATTTGTCTGCAATCAACCTGTTGAAGCCGTTTAAATAGACGTGATTTATTTGACTCTTGACTGATAAAGAAGCAAGGCAGAAAAACCTGACGTGTGTCTTAAGGGAGGAGTCGATATATATTTTCCAACATGAAATCGGTCCTTGGAGGCAAAAAAGGTTGGGGACCCTTGTCTTAAGGGAGGAGGCCTGGCGTGAGAAGGAAGGCGGACGGGCCGCGCGCCTTTACAACAGATTGACAGATTGGGATGGGTGGAAAGGAACGCCCTTAATGAGAGCCAGCTGGTAATTGGCAGGTGTGTGTTCAGGTGCTGAGCACCACTTGCAGCGCGAGACAGGGAGGCTTTCGAAGGAGACAGGCAGCATGGGGGAGATCGGATGCATGGAATGCGCTCGAGGAGCTTTATGTTAGTGAACAAAACACCACGACTCCCTCCCCTGCCTGGAGGGAAGAGTGTGTGTGTGTCTGTGAGAATGTAAGGCGTGGGAGTGGTACTCCTGCTAGGTCGGTTTAAGTTTTCCGTAAGTCTTATTTAGCCACGTCGAAATTGTCCTCCGACCCCGCCCAATCTAACAGAGTGTGACAGATGAAAGACGCGGGTGAATCTGAAAAAGCGGGAGGATAGGTGCTAGCGGGAGGGCGGCGTGTGTGTGTGGCCGTTATGTGGCGGGGTGTAGCTACACTGCGTGGGGCGGAGGTGGGTGGGGGGTGTTGTGGAAGTTTGAGGGTGAAAGTGTGAAAATTAGGTTTGAGACATTAAAAGGGTACTCAGAGTTTCACCAGATGAAATGTACGGCCTTGTTTAATTTACTTTGTACAACAGCTGGATTCTCACAATACTCGATGGTCGGGTATCGCTAGCAGTTAAAGCCATGCTAGTACTTTTATCAATACGGACTATTGGTTTGGATCCAAATGTATACTCGTATGAATCAACATTGCTTTATTATCCTTCTATGAAAGGTGTTTCATAAGCAGCAATATGAGATACTCAAACATGTTTGAAATATATTTGAAGATCCCAAATCAGCCCTTATAAAGGGCTTTAAAATCTGTAACAGACGTCTTATATACAGAAGGAAGAACGTAACGTACATACAATACGCTCAGAGCGCTTACCTTTCATTTATTAGCCTGTTCTTATATGTGAAACCTCCATTTGACGAGGCTTTTCTTTCCTTACATGTGAGGGTTTAAGTGCATTTGATACAATAGACTTCTCATCCTCTTCTCATCTGCGATGTGGGTCTCAAAATCCGTATTGTTGGGCTCGGGTATATCGGACAGTGTTTCTTCATTAAAAGAAGAGCAATGAAGGATTTGTGTGTGATCACCCGATCACACACAAAGTACAAAGACGATAATTATTCGATAAATAAAAATATTTAGTGATATAAAGATTGCCTATTTGTAGTTAACAAATGACCAACACAAAAACCTTTTTAGTCTTCCACAGGCAACCAACAATAAAAGCCACCGTTACATAACAATAAGTTCCAGTAAGGCAGTGGTTTCTAAACTTCTGTCAAGCCCCCCTTTGATAAAATGGGAACGTCGAACGTTCATTAGTTAATTTTCAATGTTCAACTTGGATCTGTATTTGGTCTTGATTGTAGCAACTGCAGATAAGTGTGCTCATAGCTCTTTGGCCTAGTAGGGGCGCAAGAGACGATTTATGAGGTGTGTCAGGAGCGGATTGATGGGCGGGTCAGCCTACACAGGGTAGGAACCTTTGGGGGCTCGGCAGGTGTTTCCAGCCGGAATAGCTGAACAGTTCTTGACCGCACGCTGGGTAGTATCATGTAACGCTCCGGGTGGATGTATGTTAAATGTGTGACAGGAGTAAGTTGGAAGATAAATGGACGCCACAACACAAAGGCTACGCGACTCTCATTCATCCGTCAGGGACAACAGCGGCGCGTCAACTAGGGTTTCCGAACAAAATGCCTCAGTGGCTTAAAGCGTTGGCTTAGCCTCTACAACGGGTATTCAATATGCCTCCTCACATTTTTCTACTTTTACCTTTTTTTTGTGCCGTGGTGGTTGGAACGCTGTGCATGTCACGTCAGTTCCACTTAATTTCTTTTCTTTCATTTTTAGTTCTTAGGTGCAACCTTACAATATATAGTCCTACCTTTATAAATTGTTGGTAATTGTATTCTATGTATTTTTTATTCTGGTGTTTGTGGTTCCGCCCACCAGTTTGGAAACTGGTGTAATGTATCCAGAAATAATATTGATTCAAAACGACCCCAATACGAGTCAACGAGCTCCCGGACGCTGCAGCTAATAGATGCATAATGTCTTTCGACAACCCGCAGGCGGATACAAAACACAGCCACAACTAGTCACTTTTGACCTGCAGAAAACAAAAGAAATGTGCTCAAATAACTGTACGTCCATTTGGGTTTTCTTTTCTTTTCATTTCGTTCATGTTATTGAGAGTATGCGTTACCCAGATCTATGAGGATGGCGTGCTGCTGCGTGGTCAGCTGCTTCAGCAGCTCTTTGTACGGAGTGGGATTGGCGGGCGGCCGGGACGGGACAGTCTGCCTGAGCAGGTACTGTTCGGACAGAAGCTTCCAGATCTCTCCCCGGTGCTGCCTCGGGACGCCTGTCGGACACGACAGAGAGAAGAGGGAGAGTGGGGACGGAGCCCAAAACAGAAGACGCGTTGAAATTGAGGGGCTGCTCAGACGCTTCCTTTTGGCAGAAGACAAATAGTGCACATTTGTAAACAGGAAGGGCAACCCGTGTTCTGCTGGATTTCCCCTGGGTACGTTTTTTCAAGCGCCTGGGTCTCAGGCGCATGACCTTCGGGTAGGTGTGATATATAATCATCTTGCGTAATAAGCCAGCTCTTGGGGCTACTCTAAGGTGGCCTTGAATTGGCCATTAGCCTTTTTCCGTGTGCATGTGAGGTGAAGTTTAGCTTGGGAAGCCCTGGGGCTGAGGAGATAACCCCCCCCGGTCCTCTGTGCAGAACCTGCTGACACTAGAAACACAAAATCACACACTGGCTTTACTGTGCACGCATGTTGGATTAAAAAAAGCTCAGTTAATGCTCTTTTGTTTTGGCCTATTTGGCAGCAGCACCGCAGCTGATGGAGAAATGTTACTATTTTCAGATTTGGGACTTTTTGTTAAGCTTTCGTCAATATTGGCTACTTGGTGAGCAAACCAAAGGAGCCTGGAAATATGTATTCAAGGAGCCAGACATTGTACCTTGTGCAACGGCACCGTGGATGGCCTCCGTGTCAAACTTGACCTTTGCCCTCGCAGGAGTTCCCAGCATCTTCTCCCAGACCAGAGTGACGTCCTTCAGACACGGGGTGATTTCGTCGTAGTCCAGCTTTAGCCGCTTGTTCTGCAGATTGCTTTCTGAGGCTGCGAAGGAGAAAGACCCAGAGGGTGAGTGTTAACGACGCGCCGGTATTTGTAGAACAAAAAAAATGTGACAGCAGCCAGACACTACAATTAGAACCTTCACGTTTCAGACCACACACAATTCATGACCGTCATCATCTTCATCTGAAATGATCAGGAAGGCAAGATGTCCACGTGATGTTTTAGACTTAAAAACCCGCACATAAAATACATTAAAAAAACGGTTTCGTTGGGTTTGGGAAATGTTGGAGGTAGTAAACTAAATTCTCCAAAGTGTGCCTCCACTGAGACTGACTGGACCAGTTTGTCTCAATGCCATTCAATTCATTCAGGATGAACATGCAAAATGCAAATGAAGGACTGGCTTAAACTATTTGACAGGAAGGTGTTGTAATAAGATGTTTTTGCAAAATCAAATTTGTGGCTTTCGGATTCACACATAAAGACACATACTGTGAATTCCGTTGCAACATGTTGACACTAGCGATCAAAGGTGAGGTTACGCCCAACGCCTGTTCCTCGCTTTCTGACAACACCCTTCCTCTCTTTCCTCCTTAATCTCTCAGCCCTTCTTTCTTCTCTCTCTTCTCCAACTCCTGCCTGCACTCAACTCTTTCTTCTCATCCATTCCCGTATGGTGATGATATGCGGCTACAGCAGATGGCGCTGGGAATAACGGGCCAGTTGCTCTTTGGGTGCGGTCGGCCTGACGGGACGGTTAGATGGTGGCCGACTACGAAGAGGGTTTGCAAATGGTAAACCTTTGTTTGCGATCTTTTATGATAGATTGCTCTGATAGTTGCCGATAATTCTCACCCAAGGACTATAAGCTACTATCTGTACGCTTTCAACATGAGATAGTGCCGATATGACGCGGCCGCATCTGCTCTTTCAACCCTCCAAGACACAAATGCCAAATTATCAGTGCAGCCAACCAGGGCTGAGCGGTATGGCCAAACATCCATATCCCGGTATGTGACTATTTCAAGTAAACAGATGAATTCATTGAAAAGGACTAGTTAGCTCGTTAGCGTGTTGCGGCTGCTAGTTAGCATGTTGCGGCTGACACAGCTCGTTTCTTGGGCACAAGTTGTGTTGGTGCATCTCTGGTCTCTGGTTGTTGTGTTTTCATGTAGCAACAGAGTTAACGCCCTACAGCCAACATGTATTTGCATCCTTGACTTTTTTGCAAAAAGTAAACGAAGGAAAATACCACAGCTTGAATGAACAAACAAAATCACTGCTTGGGAAGAGTGGACGGCTATGCATAGAGCTGGCATGAGAAGCCAGAATGAAACACATTCTGGAATAACTGACTAGAGACTAATTGAATTTTTTTATTTTTTATGAAATGCTGTGTATCTAAAGTATCATGTATCAAAGAAGTAGGGGGCGTAGTCTGGATAATAATACATTTATAAACAAGAGGGGAAAAAAGGGACAGCGGACACACGCAGACTAACAATAGATGTGGCCGTCTGTCTTATCTGGAGAGCGTCCGCCAGGACTCCTCCATTTCTCTCCCGGAACACCACGCCCATGATAACACACAGCATAGGATACTCCACCCTAGCGCTTACACACACGAGGAATGGAGCTCTACCCGGACTAATAACGGATGGAAAGGTGAAGCGCCACAGGGACAAATAAAACTATGTTACACTATGAACGCTACACGCTGCAGATGCTGTGGGCACATGTTTTCATTTCATCATCCCTGACCCGCATTCTCTAAGCCCCCACCCGGTCATACTGGCAATGATTGCTACTTATGTTTGGGTTCATGATTTGCATATTGCAGGTAGTTAAGGGGTTGTGCCGCGCAGTAAAAGGTATGTGTCTCAATGCCAACTGGGTCAGGAAAGAGGCGGAGCACTTGGCCCACCCTTACATACGCCCTCAGCACGCATGCACACGCACACACGCGAGGCATGTTGCCAGAGACTTAAAGTAAACGAGCGAGGCGAATCCTGCAATACAAATTTGCGAGAACAGGCAGCTAAGAGCTGGATAGCAATTACATGACATCAGCGATGGTGGCGTTTTTTCCTTTGCACCCCCTCACCCTGTAGCTTCTGGTTCTCCATCTCCATCCTCTGCAGGAGGATCTGCTGCAGGATGGCCTTCCTCCAGAGCTCCCTCAGCTCCTCCTTGCTCCTCCTCCTCCTCCTCGTTTCCTCGGTCACCAGCCTTATTGACTGCTCCCCGCTCCCTCCGACTCCCCCCTGGCCAGCGCACAGCCGCCCCCCTTCCAGGCAGGGGTCGCCCCTCTCTGAAAGACACAGCAGGTTGTGTTGCATGAAGTTGGATGAGATCACGCACCATCGGGTGTCCACACGTTAACAGAAGATAACCGTGTTATGTTGGGACTTTTAAATTACAACGAGAGAGACAAAATAGTTACTTAATTGAACCGAAGTAAAAAAGAAACTCTGCACAGTTCTTGACACCTGTGCAGAACAGAATGAAAAATGATAAACACGGATGTATTCAACGCAGTTCAGTGCGTCGCACACAAGTGTTTGTGTGACTCCACACAAAGTACAGGGTGGATCCCAAAACCTCAAAATACTCTAGTTAAATGGCTAGTTGTCTTTCTTCGAAACAGTTTGCAGGAAAAATCCAGATTAAATTTAATTGCACGCGCACAGCTTGTGAATTTAAGGCTTGTCTTTTATGAGAAACCCTCTGGGGTTAACGTATACGTGTGCCTTTGTCTTGTTCCAAGATGTGATGAAACCAGCAGTGTCACTATACAAACATGGCTCTTACGTCAGAAGTGCGGCAAACACACACACGGAGGGACAGACAGACGGGGATTTGTGGGACAAACAGACCCCTGCTCAGCAGATACCACATACGGCTGAATTGTCGTCCGAGGTTCGTCCAAAGGTTCTCGTGGAGACCTTTGACATCCAGTCCTCCAACCGGCCCGTAAACACGAGCTTCTGCTTAAATCGCCAAACAGCCACACAATCCACTCCTTGGGCAAACATTTCACCAGAGCCATGTCCCAGAAACACACACACACACACACACAATATATGCAAAGTAGGTCAATACAGCCGGCGCCACATCCACGCGCTCGCCCCGCCAAACGGACCTGCTGAAAGCACGCTATCTGCTTCCTCGCGGCGGCCAAATTGTGAAAATGAAACGTCAGGTGCAGATTTAATAACAATGCGGGGGAAACGACCCGCTTGATGTCCAGTCGGCCTGTATAGAAAGGGAAACTTGAGTGATGGGGGCCTGAAGCTCGCTAATCCCTCCGGAGGAGCGTGCTCACCGGGGATACGAGGACGGAAAGGTTACTCCGGTCCCACATTCCTGTTGCGTTCCTCTATCACTTGAAACATGTATGTGCACAAACCATAATCCGATAATGCAGCACAGGTGCTGCAGTACTTATCATTGTTGAGGGTGCGTCAAAGGTGTTAATTGAACCACAAGGAAATGTTTGTGGGTGTGTTCGGATTTTAGAAATATCACAAGTTGCCCTCCCACCGTGATAGCAGAGGACAGACACTAGGGCCAGAAACAGGTGTTCTACACATTTAAATTCTATATCTGAGCTAAATATCAATCATAGGTCACAGCTTTTGGGGAAAATACTTAGTAGTACATCTATTGCTCACTGGAAGAGCCCCGCCTGCTTTGTAAACTAGTCAGTCATATCACATTGTAAAAGCAAGGTCATGAACTTCAAACAATCATGGCAGTTCTAGCAAAAACTGCCCCACCCTCATCGCTTTTGGCGTGGTATTCGTGGCAACACCCAAATGCCCCAAGACAGCAGAATGCGCCGCTGTTCAGGTTTCTGGGTCAAAGCAAGTTGACTCCATAGAACAGAAGGTTTTTTTTCCCCCGGGACTTTTATCACCTCCGCATGTGCACTGATGAGAGCAGATGAAACAACACGCCGACGCTCTGCTAGACCTGCCAGACCCACGTGGACTTGGTCTCTTTTCGGGTGGGTAGGTGGGGGGAGGGTTCTTTAAGAGTAGACGTCACGTCAAAAGAAATCATCAAACTAAAATGCCATAGGTTCTTCAAACACAAACACCTGTAAGTGCTCAAAGAAAGACCTTTCTTTTGCTTACTTAGAGGCGTATGTAGAGACATGTCTGCTGTTTTTGTGTTCGTTTAAAGGTACGGGGTGACCAACCCTACTATTGACACTGTCATCACCCACAGACACACAGAACAAAACACAGGATGTGAAGACGTGCAAGCACATGCATGATTCCCACGTCTGTGCAGAGAGACACAAACACGCCCTTTAGTGAAGACATTGAGCAGAAATTCACTCTCTGCTTGAATCCTCCACGCCTCTCCAATATCTGTCAGGGTCGTAAATCTCAACACACTTTCCAGTTCCTAAAGGTTGCTGGCATTCCAGACCAATTCATTTCATGTCAGACCAGTGTCGAACATCAGCCCTATTCATCAACTGGTAATGCTCGGGTTAGGAAAGACTTCACGATAAGCGCAGGACGGCACAACATCACATCCATCGCCGTCTGGTAACAGCGGAGACATACGGGACCCTGGTTATAGCAGTGCAGACGCTTTGAGGCCCCGATCCTACAGAGGCGCGTCGCTACCCACACGTAGCGCACAAACCATTGTTTTCCTGTCCCCAGTGGAAAAGAATACGGGTGTACGGTGGATCACCTACCGAACAGACACTAGCCAGCTTACACGAGATTAAAAGAGCTCAAGCGTCCTTTCTGCTAACACACGTTCCATGAACTGCACATAAGAAGTGGACAAAGAGACCAGAGTGACGTCATCCAGTTACTGAAGCCTCGAGTTCGGACGTCAGCATTTTCAATTACATTAATTTTATTTTGTATAGCCCAAAATCACAAACTACAAATTTGCGTCAGAGGGCTTTACGGTCTGCACCCACGTGACATCCTCTGTCCCGAAACCCTCACATCAGCACATTGTGTTTTCCTTGCCAACAAATGAACCGACATGACTATATTTAGAATATCGAGGAGTGGCGTAGAGACGTCTTTGGTAGTGTAGGCAACCTGTTGATCGGCGTAGCCCGGCCCTCGAGCATGCCCTGAGACCATGACCTCATGCTCACAAAGATTACTGAGGGAATAAATAAGCGAGGGAGAAGTAGAGTCTATTGTTGAAACCAAAGGGAGTTGCCCCGTGATGGTCAGTAGAGAGAATGTTAAGATTCTTCCTCATTGGCTTCATTTGGCAGAACCTACAACTGTGTTGTTTCTTTGAGGAGGACGTATTTTAGGTTTTACCCAAGCGTGTAAGTAATCTTAGTGTGAAGATCTCAACTGCAAAGCAGGTATTTCTGTTTCTCTCTGTGTGATCTAAGGAGACAAGCGGCACACTGTGGCAGTGAGCAAAATACGTGCATAACTCAGTGAGATTTAATCATGTCACATAATCATTCCATGTATCGCTCCGTGTTGGAATTTGTTCCTGAGCTGATTGAATTATGTTGAAATTGTTTGATTATCTCAATAACTTGCCATTAAAAAGCGCGTACTATCATCCACTTCGGTTGTAAGAAAATATCTACATTAGAGTTTTGCAATATTATCCTATGTGATACGGTAAAAATTAAAAACAGTACAATGATAATGGATTTTACAAACACATATGCCTAAAAACGTTAACTGGGATATATTGCTCACTTTTTCTGTTAACCCCTAATAGTCATAAAAGAACCAAACTTCATGAATGTTTTTTGGGACAAAAGTATCTGTTCCAATCACTCTATCAGAGAAAAATCAGAGTTGTAGAAATAACTGGAAACTCAGTGTATGTAAACTTTTGACCACAACTGTATATAAATACACTTTGCTTCCTTACAATGGAGTCACACTGAGACAAGTTGTCTTACCGCGTGAAGGAATTACGTTGTTTAAGTTATACTAATTGGGTCAACGCGCTTGTGTTTGCAAGAATCTCAATAAAAAGGTCATAATTCAATGAGTTGCAATATATCCGTGCTATATAAATACACTTTTCTTAGTGCTTAACAAAAGAAAGGACATAATATACACAAAGTGGCTATAGTGGAGAAAAACGCTATCTTCTTGTGTCTAAACACATAAAGTGAACCAACAGCCACAGCTTTCTCTCCAAGTGTGACCAAGACTGTGCTTTAAACAAAAGCTTTGAGTGTATTTACATGATATATGCAGCATGACCGTCTTCTTGGACAAATAGTTAAATGCTCTGTGAGGACTGATCTAAATTTGAGACAGTTAAGTGCAGAGTTGACTGGATCAGCGACTGTGTCCCTCTCACCACTGGGGTCTGTGGTCTTCTGCGGAGTGGCGACCCGAAGGAAGATCTGCTGCCTCCACGAGTGGCGGTAGCTACGGAGAGGGCTTTCCGCTACGCCGCACGCTGCACTCAGTGACGACAGAGCCACTACATCACTGAAAGACAAACACACGCCAATGGTTACATAACGTTAAGAAGTAATGCCCTTTAGTGTACACAGACATCCATGAGTAGACATGAACTCAGGCTGTGAGTGACTGAACGCTGGACACTGTGATGGACATGATAACTTGGTGTGTGTGTGTGTGTGTGTGTGTGTGTACCTGCTCTTTGGTACATCAGAACACTCATTCTCTTGGACAGGTGCCAGAAATGGAAATTTCAGAAAATTAGGGACAGAGGAGGAGGAGCGGAGGCGAGCACGCAGACCAACCAGAGGACTGGGACGGAGAGATGGGGGTGAATCAAAAAAGAGGCACGAAACAGAACACAGGGAAACGCACAGGTTTCCGCTCACACAAATGCATAAGTTAAACTTGAAAGCCAGCGCAGGTTTCTCACCCTCTTTTATTGAGCCGCGCTCCACTAGACGGTGAGGAAGGATGAAGAGGAGGGAGAGGAGAGGGAGATGAAGGGCAGGGAGGAACAGGAGGAAGGGCGGAGTCGGTTGGGAGATGTCTGAGATACAGTAAGAGGAAGCAAAGAGGAGAAGAGCAGAGGAAGGTCACAAAAAAGGAAGGTGACAAGAACAAAAAAAGGGCAACTATGAAGAGGAGGGAAAATGAGCTGTGAGGTTTGGTAGATCATTTTATTTTAAATATTATAATTGAAGATATTTCAAACTCTGAATGCATTTTACTCTTCCACCAGGATGAAATGAAAAGACCAGCGGGTTTGTTTCTCAGGTTCTTCTTCCTAGCTGCCTGCATCATTGTAAGAAGCGGCTATCGTAGCCTCCAGCAGAGATGGGGGGGGCTACGGAGGCCTGATACGTTACGTCTTTCAGACTACACAGCCACAGATATTCCTCCACATTAGGAACATTTACTACGTTTTTCAAGGACAGAGGAATTAACGCTAATAGCTAAAACGTTAATAGCAGCACTTTTCTGACAGGAACCACTTTGAAAAGAGTGCTGCCGGCTTCACATGAAGCTCCTTATCGATGATCTACAGCAGCAGCACAAAGGGGAAACCGGTGGATGCGCCACCGAACATGCGTTTAACCACCCTGTTGTCACAGGTTCATCACCGGTTAAACACAGGGTACAAGCAACGTGCTTCAGTTGAAAAAGACACAGGTTATTAACTCAATAAACACGTTGCAACCGCAACCGCTCCTCCCTCACTATCCGAACGGCTCCTTTCACGCGTGAGACTCATTTCTACCGTATTGGATGGGATTAATGTGTGACGTGTTGTGCTACGCGTCATTGGGAATGTAGACAATGAAACAGGAACACTGCCCTCACTTGCTCTGGTGCGGCGTGTCGGTGCTGACGGAGTAGTGCCGTACGAGCTTGGGCTTGCTGGCCGACGCGTGGTCCTGCGGCGTGCGAGTCAGCGCGTGCAGCGGCGAGTTGTCGGCAGAGGAGGGGGTGGGAGGGTGGCTGAAGGTGCTGGCGCGTCGGCGGAAGCCTGGAGGGTGAGCGTCACCGGGTTGAGAGGAAGCGGAAGGGGACGGGGGGAGAGAGGAGTCGAGGCGCTTCAGGTTGCCTGTTGAGTTGTGGTACCTAATGACAACCAGGAAAGCGAGTGAAGGTAGAAAAATGGTGCCTGAATAATCTCCATAAAAAGTTTGTAATAATATAATTATCTTACAATTAGGTCTAAATATATTCTGATATTTAAGGAACACCGCATTCCAACTGGCTAATCTTACAAGTGTCCGTTTTTGCTCTATGGCCTCTCATGCAGGGGGGGTTCAGTGCATTCGGATGTTTAATGTTGTGTAAAAGAGATATGTTTTAACCGGAAATGTTAATTTCTAGCAAAAATAACCTGTGGAGCCAACATAGGCAGAGCATGTTAGCACATCATTAACCATGCTACGCTATGCTACGCTCGCTTCTGCTTTTTTGTGTGTGTTTACCTGAGTGGGCTGGTGGGTCTTAGCTGGGAGGGGGCGGGCAAAGGGTCGTCCAGACAAGACTGGTCCTGGTTGCTGTCGAGTGCACAAACGGAAGAGGCGCCGTCTCCTCCTACACTGTTGTCCCTCTGAGCTCGGGCCTTGCTGCTTCCCTGTCAAAAACACAAACACGCCATGGTTACATACAGACCTGCACATTTATTCAAGGTCTTACTTTTCCAGTTTTACCATCAAGGGGTAAAGATGAAGAATTATGAAAAACACCTTCAAAAGCCTTTTAAAAAGAGGCCTATTCTTCTATGTTGGATCACAATAATGACAATGTACCATACAGACAAATGAAGACTGGGTTACAAACATAGCAGCAAACTCAAAGGAGGAATAACACCGGCAGAACAAATAGCTCCTCTGCTCTAAATTTCGTCGAAAAGCGACAACTTTGCAGGTGTGCACAGAACAAGAAGGAAGGTTTTACCTTCCAGATCCCCTCCAAGGACTCTGTGAGCGAGCGCTTGGCTCTGCTCTTGAACTGCTCCAGTCGCTGCCGACTGCTACTCTGCTGGGAATCCACCGGGGCCGGAGCCGCCTCCTCACACACCTACATATGCACGAGAGACGTAGAGATGCACAGCAAGACGGCGAGTGTGTAAGACCCGTTACGTTCTTTATTTAGAATAAAGTCAGGAAATGAGAGAGGAGGAGGCACAGCAGGGCATGTGTGGGAATTATTGACCTGCTTGATGTCACCAGGCAGAGCGTGCTGATGGCTCCTCTGCTTCTCCTCATACAGAACCCTCAAATAGGCCATCACCAGCTCGTTCTCTTCCTGGTCGCTCTTAGGACAAGCCCTCTGAAACACACAGAAAATGCTATTTATTTACTTTTTTGGTACTTTTTCCCAAATAAATAATTTTGTAATGAAATAAGAAGAAGAAATAAATAAGTTTGCAAATGTTCAGGGGTTGTGAGTGTTCAATAGCCACGTGACATAACAACATTGTGCTGCCTGTCATTAGTGAAGCGTGATCTTCTCTGTTCTGAGCTCTGCACTGATGTGGTGCAGCAGTTCAGCTACATCACCAGCAGGTGTCAGCGGAGTCACAGAAATATTTGAGGGGCGATCTCCTCCCAAAGCTCACCACATGCCGTAACGATGAGGGATAAAAAGATAAAGACAGTAAAGAATGTGCTTTATTGAACAGCCTCTCAGCAGAATTTTAGAGAAGCAAAAATATATAAATACATCTTACAGAAACTAAAAACTCTACTTCAGTCTAGCTTTTAATGTAGAGTTTAAATATTATATATTTTTATTTTTGCTTATTAAGTAAAATTTCATACATAGGCTTTGTACCAGAGTATTTATACAGATTTTAAACCACTTCAACTTTACATGTGAAGGAGGTCTGTGTGATTCAAACTCCCCCTTGTAACCGCATACCCCTCAAATTACATCCCAGAAAAGAGGCTGCCTTCAGGACTTCACTCGGCTCAACGGGTGCAGTCGGGACAGACAGGTTACTGAGGCCGTCACAATATCAAATTTGTGTTGTGTGATTATTGGACCAACATTATTTAAGATAAATAATATTATTGCAATTTTCAGACCATTTTTTGGCACGGATAACATAATGACAATATAATACCTCTTCTCTCATTCGGCTAAAAGCCAAAATGTTCCCACGCTAGAGCTGAAGATTGCGGCTTCGTAACCAAGTCCATTTGGACTAGTTCATCCTAATTGTCTGTAGATGTCACAGAAAATAACACTTCATAACACGGTGGCTTCACGCGTTCCCTTCACCTGTCGGTGTTCCCTCTGCGTGTGCGTGTGGAGGCGCTGCCTAAGCCCCGCCTCCAAGAATGGAAGCAAACGAGAGGGAAGCGCGATCGACTAAAATGTTGGTGACGTTCATTTACATGTAAAATGAATATCGCACCACCAAAAATGGTTGCACTCACTTTCACATAGCGTGCGGTGAGTCAATATATGGCATATCGCGACCGGCCTACACGTTACCATAGTGTTTTCAAAAACAGACGCCTGCTCCTCGTTGTCCAGGGTGGCCAGGTGTCTCTGAAGCTCCAGCTTGGTTTTAGAGGCGTGCAGACCTGAAAAAAAAGATGCAGAATTAAAAACAAGACAGAAAGAAATGTCCCTTAGTCATAATACGTGTATATTATACTGTATGTAGGGGCGCAAGTTCATTGGTCACATAATTCTACAGCATAATAATACGTTTATACTTTGTGGGATGCGGTCATCTACATAGATGTGTAAAACTAAATTTGTGGCAATTAAAGACAGACAAATCCGTTCATCGTCGTACTTCTATTCATCGCAAGAAGTGTGAACACATTTATTTCAAAAATCTACTGAATAGATAAAATCCTGTGTTAGGTTCCGCCTTTCGCCCCAAATCTGATGTACACTGGGTGAACAAACTGACTTCTAATCTCCGACTTGACCGATCGACACTACTGTCGTACCTTCTATCCTCTCACACAGTCTGTGGAGCTGCTGCATGGGGCAGCTGTCACACTGCTGCCTCTGGTTCTTCATATTCTGCTGCACGGCAGCCACTGAGAACGCCTGCTTCAAAGTCAGCATGATCTCATCCACCTACAGGAGCAAAACGGTCTTCTTTAGGCCTCGATTTACGTTTGCGGATTTGTGTAACTGTATCCCACAATGGAGAACAATTATTTTAACAAATCCCCACAAATTCTTGACCTAATATTGTTTTTGTAACGCCTTTGCATAATTTAAGAAAAGTTTCAATATACATCAGGAAATCTGAATCTTTGTAGCGTGCCATATAAAACTGGTCGAAGTGAAAACAAGAGTAGAGTAAACAAGATATGCAGATTGTTCCCACGGGGTGTCCAGTTTACTCTGGCAGCAGTCAAATACTAAAGTACGGTGGTCTGCTGACTGAGGCTTTTTATCAAACACGCCATGACTCAATGCAGCACCGATGCTCCGACGATGAGGTCACAAGACTTGAAGCACAGTTTAATCCAAAGCAAACTGGAGAGGTTTTAAATCCAACTGTGGGAAATACTGATATGGAAATGCCCAGTATGTGTAATCAGTTACAGAATACACACAATTCATGACGTTGGATTGTTGTCTATCCAAAATCTGATCATTTCAGACTTGCCAAATTCAAAGAAATCCCCTCCAGCTTCTTTTTCCAGCTCAAACTAACATGTGGACTGAAACTGAAACCTAATAACAAGGGCAAAAGACGTCCCATCCTTTTCTTGCCATAGTCCAGCATGGTCTGCTCTCATAATCGGCCTCTCACCAGCGATTCGTCGGTGCACTGGAAGACGTAGCACACAAAGTGGCAGCTTCCCCCCTCCACCGTCTCCCTGCAGATGAAGCCGAAGTGATCCACGTGACGGATACCCTGGTAGAGCAAAGATTTAGCATACCACACATGGCCGCACAGACTGTTATGTGGAGAAACAGAGGAGCTTACCTGGGAGCAGAAGGAGATCTCTCTGAAACTCTTCTCTATGGCAACTTTCTTAGTGTCTGGACTGACCAAGAAGATCTGAGACCTGCCCACCTGCAGCAGAGAAAGACGCCGAGAGCACAGTGAGCCTGCCGATGTGCTTCTGTGTGTAGTGAGGTGAGTGGTGTGGTCGTCACAGCAGTAATAAACCTTGCCGACTAAAATAGTCGTGGCCCAAGATCAGAATCCTCACTGGTAGTCTGGGTCAATCATTACGTAATATAAAAGGGAAGGGGAGCCTAAAATATCTTTTCAGTTTTATAGAAATGGTTTTAGAGTCCCGTTCAATGGATATCCCCCGTTTATAGCATCTTTAGCACAGGAGTGACTGAAAAGGGAAAGGGCCCAGTGGTTCAGAATAAGCAGCGGATCTCACGTCTGAGAATCTTCACAGGGACGGCATAGCTATTCTTTCTGTGAACGGACGATATAAAATAACTTCTCAGTCTCAGGGACCCCCCCCCACCCCCCCGCTTCACGGGAAACAGAGATGAAAGGAAGAGTAGGAGTTTTGTAAATAATGATGTCACTACGATGAGGTCGTTCCGCCTACAGCAGGATATACCATCAGGGTCCATAACACGTGCGTCTGTGCTCAAAGGACCACAGCGGGCCCTCGTGGTTCCTGTGGCAGTGCTTACCATTTCCCGTCTGTGGGACAAACAGGAAAGCGGCAGTCCCTGAGGTCACATAAAGATTAGAAAGGAGGAGGCTCATTTTGAGTGGTAGACAGTATTTGCTCTTGCTGAGTCATTAGGATGTATTTTTTAACCTCGGTCTCTGTTGTTTAGGACCTAGTGAGAGTTATTCAGGGAATCCTAAATTGCATCGTACAGCACTACAGAGTTAAGGCTGGTGCATGCTTCTGCGTCTGCGTCTTTACGCACCGTTGTGTCGACGCACTCGTTTCAATTCATGGTTCAAAAGACTTGTGTGTGTTGCAGAGCGATTCACCGCCAATGACGGCTTGTATTAGCGGTCATATTTACGCATTTCTTCCGACAAAAGTTCTTCAATCTGCTCAGTTCTCTCGTAAACATTCTTTGTTTTAATAATGGCCGTATCGGGCTATGAAAACAGAAATGTGAGACTCCGTAAAGGACGTAGTCAGCGGCCCAATCGCAGCCCTGTGCGCTGCGGGAGGCTTGCGTCGCTTTTGACGCTAGTCTAGAAAAATGGGTCGACGCACGCAAGGTGGTGTAAAAAGGCACGCAAGGGACACGGAAGGGACACGCAAGGGGGTCTTGCGTCCGCGTTTCCTTGCGTCGCTCTGAAAACGCAGACGCATAAACTAGGCTTTAACCGGTGATTCTCAACAGAGATCTGATATCTGTCCACTGCTCATCTTGTGCTGCAACAAACTGAATTATATCTTGTGGGCTCAGTCGTGACTATGCTCTCAGGGGTTGGTCAGATATAGTTATCCAGATTTGATTATCAGGGAAGCAGTAATTGTGATGTGTTCTGCCCATCAAGGAGAAAACAAATAGGAGTAACTAGAGCATACTTGCTATTGTCAGCGTGCGTGTCCCTTCATGAAACTCACCATAAACAGCATGGTCCGGTTCTCCTGCAGGCTGGTGGGCTGCACTCCAGCCGAGTGGGCCTCAGTAGTGTTGGTGTGGGAGATCTCGGGCGAGAGTCCATTCTCATCCAGGGCCTGCAGACAGGGGAAGCTGGGATCCCCTTTGAACAGGGCGGGGCGCTTCCCGGCGGTCGGGCTCCCCGCGGCCCCGTTACGGACGTCAGCACCCCCGAGTCCGTTGGGTTGAAAAGACGCCCTCTGAGGCGCGCCTGCTGACCCGCGTGCGGTGGCTCCCTCCTCGCTTGCCCCCGAGCCGTGCAGCTGGCCAAATTTCTCGATGCACTCGTCGATCAGGGCGGGCGGGGCCTTCTTGTGGGCGACGCTCGCGCGGCCGCAAAACAACACCTCGAACTTCTTGGCGAAGGCGGTCGGCGAGATGACGGCGGAGGCTGCCGTGGAGGTCGCCTTTGCAGAGACGGACGAGTGACAGGCCTCAGGGGGGTCGTGGCCCCCAGAAGTCGTTTTGACGGAAACGGGGGCGATGACATCGCTGCGTGCCGAGCTCTTGCCGGCCTGCCTCAACGTACTGATGATCTCAGGAACCTGGAGGGTACAGCGGGTAGGAGATGGGATCAAATACAGCTGCGTAACGGGGCCAAGTGAGAACTACATCTGGTTTTGATGCATCTGAACTGGGATGTGATAGAACTAGGTGAACACACGGGACGCAATTAACAGAAGGGATGGCTCCAAACTCCCTACGTATACATACCTGAAACTCATTTAGAACTACTTCAATACCAAAAGAAAGAAATTGAGATAATGTCGTGGCGAAGAATCAGAGCCAGTTTTACCCAGATAGCATAGTGCACTAGACCTAATGTAAAAAAAGTCCCATCATATCCATTGGCGTCGTGAAATACTTCCTTCAGGTGCTTATTATTAACGTGCCTCTTCATTTCTAAAAGGTGGGGTTTGACTGAGTGCTCATGCTGCCCAGCCCTGGCGGCACAAACAGGTGTCGGCCTGCAGAAGCAACAGTGCATAACCACAATACGTACTGATTTTCATGAGCTCACCTACCACGTGGTGCAATGTGTGTCACGGTTCCCTGGAATGGAGCCGCTCTTACGGCGCGTGTTGAAAAGGGGACCTTTAGTCTCAAAGGGGGCTTTGTGCTCACTCGCTCTTTATTTGATTCCTTTCCTCTGGAGCCCTCCTCTCCCGTTTTCCTCTTCAATCAGGCTAAATAAACTCTGGCTGTAGTCCACAGAAGACTGAAAGTCCACCTAGTCTTTAACCAAAACTGCATGTTATCTTTAGATGATTTCAAGGAGCGACAGTGCACTGAGAGCAGTTACATAGCCGCCTAAACGAATTGTAAATAAATAAACAAGCTGCAGCATATTAAATTAGTTTTAACCGGATTATTGTATAATTAAATGAAAACAGACTGAAAGCCTGACTATATTGAAGTGATTTCTGAAAATGGAAGTCAAAGGGTTTTGCAATGTGCTAGCAGATCTGTATCAAACAAAAGTAGGTCAGGGTTTTTACCTCCACTCATCCCGCAAAAATATGCGTTAATCAACCACCCAAACCAGGTCTACAAAACACCATGGCAACTCAGTCGAATCTGCAACCTCACCACTAGATGCCCTCGTGTGTGTGTGTGTGTGTGTGTGTGTGTGTGTGTGCGTGCGTGTGTGTTCCAATTCAATTATTCAAAACAAAACGCAATTCATCAGCTGCTTCAGGTGCAAAGACGTGTCCATATAACGTTTTGGAAAACACCCGGAGTGAACCCATGCAGACTCCACACAGAAAGGCCAGTGGGTGTAACCAGCGACGCTTCTAACGCGGGCCGTGCCGTTCAGTCAGCGGGACGGCTGCAGTGTTTGGCTCATAACGACGGGCAGCGAATCGGCCTCATGCGGCGGTCCACGCAGACGTCGGGACCACGTAGACTGTAATGCAAACAGTTCGTCCGGTGCATGCAACATTCATGACCGTCGGTCAGTCGGTCTGCTCCACAATCACATTTTGAAGTGAGAGAAACAGTCCGAAGCTGTAGACCTAAAGGGAAGCAACGTGTAGCTGGATTCAGTGGACACAACTTGGCGCGATGTCATGAAACCAGACATGAAGGTGTTGCAGGATATCTGGAACTTCCACAACAAACACAAATCAGCAATAGTGGTTATTTCAGCCATGACTGATGAGACGTTGTCCCCACGGGAGCGAGTGACACAAATAAAACACACATAATTGCAGGAATATTGCTTTGCGTTTAGCAGGAACACAGCTTTATTGTCTTTCATCCTGGGATGCTCGGAGGGAACCAACCGCAGACATAAGCCACACAGAGAGTTCACTCAGCAGCTGAATGTCCGTTGGTATTGACAATTGCATCAGCGTATGAGAGCTGGAGGCCAAAATGGATCCAACAGGCAGGCAGCTCGCCATCAGTAAACGCAGCATGACCAGTTGAAATGACACACAGACTTCCTCCCCATCCAGAAACTGGATCTGAGAAACTACTATATATATATATATATATATACACACACACACACAGGCGATGTATCATGGTGACTTTGTATCACTTGGCCGTGATTGGAGTTTATGCAATCTGTGTAAACACTCACGCTCAGCAGAGCGGCTTCCCGGATATTCAAGTTCAGACGGGACCGCCGATTAATCCTCACACCACCAACGCACAATAACTGCTCTGTGAGACGGAGAACATTCCTTTGATGCAGAACGATCTCTAAATGTGGCGACACGATAACTCACAACTTATTCTGCGAGGCAGAGGCCACGCTCCCGTTCCCGCGGACAATGACACACACACACACACACACACACACACACACACACACACACACACACACACACACACACACACACACACACACACAGTGTTTCTGGATGCTTCTACAACTGACTCAGGAGGTTTTCAATTAAAAACCTGTCAGACAAAAAAAAAAAAACAGAAGCAGCAGACAAAACAGAAGTAAAGGCAAAAATAGAACAGCCAACAAGCAGCGTTCTTTCACCGCTTTTTCGGAGTAGTTTCTTGTGATGATGGAAAATGATTTTGACAAAGGCCGGATGTGTTTAACAAGGGAGAATTGACACATCTTGGAGGCTTTTGTGTGAAAAGGCCGAAAAAAACAAGGGGCAACTTTTAAGATCATATGAACCGCTTGATACCCGTCAGTTACTCATGAGGCAATAACTCCGTTCTGCTGTCCATCCGTATACATGATTTCAAATAAGGTTGACTGACAAAGCTCACAAGGCGAAGCCGCCGAGTCAAAAGGACGTCTGTGGGCAAAGTCGTGATCAATATCAATTCGATAGCAGACTTGACAGATTTAATCTGAAAGGAATACCATGACAGCAAAAACATATTCAGCAGAAAGATGGTGTGCGTTGCAATCAATGCGGCTCACACAAAGATTGTAATGATACACGATTCAGCAGCTGAGTACAGCCGCTACACACTGTGCTGCAGACCTGTAGCATTCTGCTGATAATAACGGCAGCAGTTGCCGCACAGTAACTGAAGGACACCATGCAAAACATGTGATTGAATGCAGAAGAAAACAGACGTGTATTCTTACTCATTTGCTGCTTTTCCTATTTTGACCACGAATGTCGCCACACATTCACCAGCATTTCCGAGGCAAGTAGCTTGGAGGACTTCCCCTTTGTACATTAGTACAACACGGAGGAAATGTACCTTCTTGTTGTTGTGCGTCGACTTATTAAAAGTGCGCGTCTGGACATTTCACAGTCATCACTAAAACAAAACCAGTCTGTCATCAAGGAAACGTAAGGGCGCAACAGAGCAATGAGAGGAGAGAAGAGTGAGATGCATGTTTGGATGGATGCGTGTGTGGATATGTAGAAATGTATAAAGAATATGTACATGAGAACTAATGGGGTGCAAGTGTTTGAGGGTGTCTTTAATAGCTACAGGAAGCTAAGTGATGAATAGGTTTCCTTTAAATACTGTTATTATGCATCATTTCTATTTTATTTATTTATTTTAGAATTCTTGTGGGTTTTTGGATGGGTATTTTTTTTTATTGTCGGGCAAATCTAGTTGTTGTATATTTGGTCCAAGTATGTTGTTGTATGTTTAAATCAATACAAATACCTTTCTCAAGAAACCCAGGAAGATAAGGGAATAGAAATATATAAAATAAAAAGTCTGGGATTGTTATGACTGAGCTTTACTTCATTAGTTTTATCAATTGAATGAAAGCTAATAATCCTCATTAGTTGTACCGTAAACAAACACACACATGCTTCTTCTAGAGCTCTGCAGGAAACAGTCGGTAAATTAGATTATTTTGCACTTGTTCCCTCGTCTCAAAGTAAATTGGATTTAGTGCAGATGACTGGAAGAAGGTCTGCAGTCAACACGAGCGAAGAGATTTAGAGATTTCAACGGTTTGCTAATTGACACACAATTAGTAAAAGACCCATCAAGAATTTTGAAGCCTTATAAACAGGCAGCGGAATGAGAACGCGTCACCAGTCCCTTTACCTCAGTGGTGGTGACATGAAGTCACGTGACCTGGCAAAGCCCGGCAGCTGTAGTCGCAGTTATTTTACATATTACAAATCAAACAGCAACAATAAATAATCATTTAACACATTTGTTCTTAAGGGTGCAGTTGCTCTGAAAGTCAGATTTATTTGAATAAACATGATTTATTATAAAGAATTATGAATGCTATCTAGAAATCAACATCAAACATATTTTGTGAAATGTTTGAGGATATTTTACATTTTTAGTATTCAAAAAAATAATACATACACAGAGCAGGATTGGAATGAATCAGTATTATAATAATAGGAGATTAATAATAACAATAGAGCGGGGGAATGAACAAACAGTTCATCCCTGTTCTACAATAACCCAGCACAGCTTTTCTGTACTAATGGCTCATTATCAGAGGACGCCGCAAACCCAGGAAGTGAACCAGTTGTTTTTAGGAGTCTTAATTCATTACAGGAATCATTAGAAAAAGCGCAAGTGGATTTTCCTCCAGCGTTTGAGGTCTGGTAGACATGCCAGACACAAACATATTCTGTTGTTGTTCATCGGTTTCCTTGATCATCCAGGAGAGAAAACCTAATGGCTAACTTATTCTAACAAGTGATGGATGAAGTCACTAACGAATGCAAGCAGACACATTTCTTGGAATGTCGTCATACGTCACAAACTTCTGCATTTCTTAATCCCCTCCCCTTTTTTTTTTTTAGACTGCTTGAAAAGAAGAAAACATTGGATCCTGCGTTCAGGGTGGAGAGAGTTTGCAGCTCCGGGGGCAGTGAGAGCTACAGACACACGGCGTCTTGTTCTGAGCAACATGTACATGATCTCAGACAGGAAGGTGGTGGGACGCGGCCTCAGGCCTCGGCCAAGTGAACGATATTGAGAAGGCAGGCTGTATCCCCGGCCAGAATTAAATGCGACTTTTGTTGTGCAGACCTCAAAAAGAAGGAAGTTACACAAGCATGAACTGTTAAAAGAGAAGCTGCAACACAAAGCAAACGCTTCAGTGTTGGTAAAAAGAGCAAAA